CCAGCTTGCCGCCGCCGCCGACGAGCAGAGGAAGACGAATCGCCACCGAATTGCGCGGCCACCGGCGAAGGGGCCGCATCCCGTGCCATCCCGTGCTCGCGCCCCACGCCCGTCGAGCCAACGGCAATGGGGCCTGGCACAGGCGAGAGCCAAAATGGCTTGAGCCAAAATGGCTACGGTCGGAGGAGGAGGAGGAAGATGAGAAGGAGGTGGAGGAGGAGAAGGAGGAGAAGGAGGAGGAGGAGGAGGGGAGAAGGAGGGCTTAGAAAAGGAGGCCTTAGAAAGGGGGGCCCTGAAAACGACACGGCATTTTTCGCCACTGTAATTCTTCAGTGTATTACCGTGCCGGGCGACATCTTCTTGACGTTTCTGGCGCCGATGTTCTACGACCAGCTCTGAACCACTTTCGAACCGGCTACGAACGCCCTTCGGATCCCAAGACTGCCCGCACCGTTTCGGCGAATAGTTTCTCTCACCGTTTCGGTGGAACGCTTCGTTGCAATTCTCATGATCAGGATGAAGATGGTGTCTCTCTCAACCATTATGTTGTTTCTGGGCCCGCGTATTGAAAAGACAGCTCCCAGCGTCTCCTCTCCTCCTCCTCCTCCTCCGCCTCCTCCTCCTCCTCCTCCTCCTCCTCCCTCACTCCCTCCCTCCCTCCCTCCCTCCCTGCCTCCCTCCCGCCCTCCCTCCCTCCCTCCCTCCCTCCCTCCCTCCTCCCACCCCAGTGGCGCCGTCCGCATGGGTCCGCGCCGCAAATTTTGGCGCACACACACACACACCCCTCACACGCATCTTAGCCCCATAGGGAGCTCCATCAAAGGCCCCAGTGGCGCCGTCCGCATGGGTCCGCGCCGCCCACATTTCGGCTCACCCCTCGTACGCTTCTTGGCCCCATAGGGAGCTTCACCCAAGGCTCCAGCGGCTGCGGCCGCATGCGTCCCCGCAACCCATTTCGGCACACCCCTCACTCGCTTCGTGGCCCCATTCGGAGCTCCACCTAAGGCCCACTGGCCCGAAAGCTCCGACGGCTACGGCGGCATGCGTCCCCGCACACTAATTTTGGCACACCCTCAACCGTTTCGTGGCCCCATTGGGAGCTTCACCCAAAGCCCCAGCGGCTGCGGCCCCACGCGCCCTCCGCAACCCATGTCGGCACATCCCTCACACGCTTCGTGGCCCCATAGGGAGCTCCACCTAAGGCCCCAGCGACTGCGGCACATCCTTCACACGCTTCGTGACTCCATGGGAAGCCCCACGTAGGGCCCCAGTGGCTTCGGCCGCATGCATCCCCGCCACCAATCTCGGCAAACCCCTTCACACGTGTCATGTTATAACCGCAGTAAACAATTAAGACCCCCCCAGGGTTATCGTTAGCACCGCACCGTAACAAGTGGCACGTGTGCCATGGCTCTTGCACAAAAAGGAAGGGGGAGGAGGAGGATGTGGAGGAGGAGGGGGGGGGAGAGGATGCCAGACATCGCAGAAGGAGTGAACAAAACAGGGCCGCAAGAGGGGCTCCAGAGGGCGAGCGCGAGGAGACTCCAAGGGCCGTCCCCCGCAAGATGGCTTCAAAGACCTTTGACGGGTTCCCAGGAAGCCTCCAAACACCCATTTCGTAATGTCCCGGATCCCCAGTTTCTTGTTGCTGCTGCAACCAGAATTGCAATTTCGTAATGACCCAGATCCCCGATGTCCTAAGCGTTTTGTGGCGCTCGTGTGTTACTTCGCGAGGGCGGAAAGAAAATGGGCGGGGCGGAAGGAAACCATACGGAGAAGGCCCCGCTGAGGCCGCGGGGAACACTGGGGGGAAGGGGCGAAAGGGGCGCACCGGGGCAGGAAAGACATTGGCCGGGCACTGGGGCCGCGGGGCACTGGACGGGCGCTGGAACCGTGGGGGCGCTGAGACGGTGTCCGGGAAGGGGCGGAGCACGGAGGGGCTGCGGTGCCGAAATAAAGTGGGCGGGGCGGAGGGGGCGCTGGGCGAGCGCTGGAGCCGTGGGGGGCGCTGAGACGTGTGGGGGAGGGGGCGGAGGATGGGGGGGGGCTGTCGGGGCGGAGGGGGCACTGGGCGGGCGCTCGAGCCGCGGGGGAGCGCTCAGACGGTGCGGGGGAGGCGGGGCTGGAACCGCGGGGGGGGGGACGGCGCGGGGGAGGAGGCGGAGCGGGGAGGGGGGGTGCGGTGCCGAAATAAAATTGGTCGGGGCGGAGGGGGCACTGGGCGGGCGCTGGAGCCGCGGGGGGGGCGCTGAGACGGCGCGGGGGAGGGGGGAGGCGGGGGGCGGGGCGGAGCGGAGGGGGTTTGGGCGGTGCGAAATAAATGGTCGGGGCGGAGGGGGCACTGGGAGGGCGCTCGAGCCGCTGGGGGAACGAGTCAGTACTGTGCGGGGGAGGGCGCGGAGCGGGGGGGGGGCGTGCGAAATAAAGTGGCCGGGGCGGAGGGTGGGCACTGGGCGCGCGCTGGAGCCGCGCAGGACGCTGAGACGGCGCGGGGGAGGAGGCGGAGCGGGGAGGGGGGGGGTGCGGTGCCGAAATAAAATGGTCGGGGCGGAGGGGGCACTGGGCGGGCGCCGGAGCCGCGGGGGGGGCGCTGAGACGGCGCGGGGGAGGGGGCGGAGCGGGGGAGGGGGTGCGGTGCCGAAATAAAGTGGTCGGGGCGGAGGGGGCGCTGGGCGGGCGCTGGAGCCGCGGGGGGGCGATGAGACGGCGCGGGGGAGGGGCCGAGCGGGGGGGGGGGGCGGTGCCGTGCCGAAATGAAGCGGGCGGGGCGGAGGGGGCGCGCTGGCTGGTGGGACCCGTGCCGTGCCGAAAAAAAGTGGTCGGGGCGGAGCGGGCGCGCTGGCTGTTAGATCAAAAAGTTGGGGCGGAAGGGGTGCGCTGGATGGTGTGGGGGGGGGGGGGCGGTGCCGTGCCGAAATAAAGCGGTCGGGCGGGAGGGGGCACTGGGCGGGCGCTAGAGCCGCGGGGGGCGCTGAGACGGCGCGGGGGAAGGGGGCGAGCGGGGGAGGGGGCGGAGCGGGGGGGGGTGCGGTGCCGAAATAAAGTGGTCGAGGCGGAGGGGGCACTGGGCGGGCGCTGGAGCCGCGGGGGGGCGCTGAGACGGCGCGGGGGAGGGGGCGGAGCGGGGGGGGGTGCGGTGCCGAAATAAAGTGGTCGGGGCGGAGGGGGCACTGGGCGGGCGCTGGAGCCGCGGGGGGGGGCGCTGAGACGGCGCGGGGGAGGGGGCGGAGCGGGGGGGAGGGGCGCGGTGCCGAAATAAAGTGGTCGGGGCGGAGGGGGCGCTGGGCGGGCGCTGGAGCCGCGCGGGGGCGCTGAGACGGCGCGGGGGAGGGGGCGGAGCGGGGGGGGGGGAGGTCGGTTGTTTTTGTCCGAAATAAAATGGTTTCGGGGAGGAGGAGGCGATGGAGCAGTGGCGCTGGAGCGCGGGGCGCTTGAGACGGCGCGGGGGAGGGGCGGCGCGGGGGGGGGTGCGGTGCCGAAAATAAAGTGGTCGGGGCGGAGGGGGCACTGGGCGGGCGCTGGAGCCGCGCGGGGGCGCG